AATACGAGAAAACAATGCTGAACACGAAATTCGATTTCAGATTCTTCATGTACGAGAAAATCTAAGAAACTTCAATTTTATTTCACGAATTTTGAATTGACTTTTTTGCAGATGTTTAGGATATGGACTGATTGACAGTCACGTATAACATAAAACCTGTCCGGACTTTAAAGTTAATCCAATGGAAAATTGAATATTCTAAAATAGATAATTATGACACCCTTTCTGCTAACTTTTATAGTTTAAAAATACTTTCGAAAGTAAAAAATTAACTTTATAATTTAATACAATATTAAAATATAACATTCGATAAAATAATTAATAATATAAGATATATTGAATGTTTCATATTATTAAGAATGAAAAAAGTCAATGAAATTGAAATATAAATGTAAATATGCTTATGCAATGAGCAGAAAATATTGTAAAATTACCATTACTTTTACCAGTTTGTTTACTTTATCAATTTTCGACCGTAATATCGGGATGGACCATTAAGTCCCATTCGACTTAAATGCAGCTTACCTGCATTTGCAACTAATTACGTTAGGATTACTATGGTACAGTTAATAATATGATAATAATAATAATAATAATAATATAATCTTTATTAAGCATTATGCTACATCAAAAATACAAAATACAAATTCTAAATATTACCTCTTCGGATTATATATAAAGCCCAACACGTCCAAATAAATCATTCAATTTCAATCGAACCTTCGACCATAATGGACCGTTTTGAATCGTCCACTTCCGAGCCTCATTTCCCGAGAACGTCTTCGCCGGAGCGGCAAAATATCAGTTGCGATGACGATAAGAAGTACAAAATTTTTGTTAAAGTCCTGGAGCAACCTCGGAAATATTTCCGTCTCAGTGGGATCCGAGAGTACAAAGGAGGTCTTCTCTGCGGGAACGTAGTGATGAGGAAGTGATCTCTGCGTGATAGAACGACTTGACAATGTACCTAAAGTCTAGGTATTCCGGAACAGGCCCTAGAGACTACGCAAGACACAACGACAGGATCAACATGGTTGATTGTCCATCCAAGACGAACGGAATCGCACGATGAACGCAATCCAAATGTATCTTGCTTGCTTTGCATGATTGTAGAGATATAATAAAATTTACCATTTTCTCTAATATTTCTGTTTTTGTAATTAAAAATAAAATAATAGAGTAATTTTTTCGGATTTTTTCAGTGTCTGATTGCCGGTATAACTAAATATTTAATGTACTTTGGTAAAATGTGTAATTACGTTCTCCTTTGGCATATAGGTGGTCAATGATCTAGTGTTTTATTTGACAAAAAAAATCAAGGCACCTGGAGGTAACTTAAAAAGTTTTCATTTCACGACCACCCGAAAATTTACGTTCCCGGGGGCATTAATTTGCGAAAAAGGAAGGTCACCGTTTCATTTTTATTTGATAATATTCGCGTCTACGGTTCTACGACTAACTTCGTTTAATTTATAACCGCTTTTTTATCTGGCGCGACCTGCTCGAATTTAAATCCCGGTATATATATTACGACAACACAGACGGATGTGAACTTCTACTACAATTTTATGCAAACGACTTGCATCCTCGCATTTGTGTTCGCTCTAGAAAATATTTTTTAGGTTAGGACTTACCAAAGAACTTAATCATTTTGGCTAAACAAAACAACCCAGTTTGAGGCACCCGCTGAACATGTGTTTTTTTTACTAATCGAAACAAAGATGTGAATAAAATCATTAAAAAATAATCATATGAAGAGTTTCTTTATTTTTTTATATTTATACATTTGGTAGAATGTCATTCTTGTCAAAACATGTCATTAATTTAATTTCAATCTAGTGGTCGGCTTGTGTTTTGTTAAAACAAAAACAATAAACAATTGTAGCTAGTGCAAAAGCTGTTTATTTGTCGCAGAAAGCAAGAAATTCATGGCTGCTGTGTCCTAATTCAAAAAATACTTCGACTTTTAATCGATTATGAAGTCGATCTAACAAGTGCAAAAAATAAGTTCAGATTTAATTATTTGAAGTAGTCAGTTTAAATTTCATTATGTTATTGTAAAGCTTTTAAATTTAATGCAAAGATACAATTTGCACTTGTGCAAAAAGTAAAGCATTTACATTTATTTGATTGAGTAAAGTAATTATTTTCTTATCATTGCTTCTTAACAAGACGGAGTTAAAAAAAGTATGATAGAGACCATTATACATGGTGACTACTGAAAGGTTGTATCGCAAAGTTCGGATAAATTGCGGTGATAATTTCTTAAAATGTTTCGTATTTCCGTTTTTGACACCTACAAACCTCACATTGTTACTAAATTAGGATCAGGCCAATTTGCATGCAATAGAAAGTCGAGGTTTTTGCTTAGTCGAACTTGCTGACGTTTCGCCAATCATCCTGTTGGCTTCTCCAGAGCTTGAATGAAGCTGGCTCGTATTTTACTCTGTACCCGCTTATACATTCTTTTGAGCGATGCTAAATGAGGCGCATAAATACCATCTCGGATGACTGATTCCCATATTGGTGACAGATAGAGACCTGAGTCGCGGTTAAGATTGTTAGGTTGTTTATAGGTTTCTGTAGACTCTCTGATTTTTCGTTGATTTCGTTGGTTGGTTAGAATTTTGGTTAGTTTTGATAACCGATGATTTTTGGGCCGGATTGTGATGTGACCATACATTAAGTATCGGTCTGTGTGCGTTGGTTTTTTGTAAACACAATGGCCCAATGTCAGGTCCGATTTGCTATTGATAAGAATATCTAAGAATGGAAGGTTATTATAAGTTTCCAACACAATGTTAAAACGTATGTGAGGGTGTACAGAGTTTAAATGTCTTAGAAAATCTACTAGGGTTTTTTGACTATGAGGCCAAATAACAAACATTTTGCAAAACAGGTAGTTTATTACAATAATAAATATACTAATAATTATACATGATTATAATTATAGAGATGCGCGGTTAATTGAGATATTAAATATTCTGGGATCCAGTAAATAAAAACTTACATAGAAGTAAGAACAATACGAGAATCGATAAATTGCAAAAAATGTTAATATTAAAAAAAAATTTTTTTTATTATTATTATGAGTATTAATATGTATCAGTATCAAATACATTCGTTGAAGTCCAGAGAAATAATAAGGGGCTCTACAGTGTTTTGTAGCGTGGTATTAGCTTCCCACATTCTTGTTTTCATTTCAATAACAATTTCGGGTTTCAACGTCCATTTAAGAATTGGTTTCATACCCTTTCACTTGCTTCCAGTTCCATTTTACAGTTTTTAATTCACCGTAAAAAAGACACAGTACTGTTATATTTCTTATAAAGTGATTTCATAGACAGCAAATTTCATGCAAAAAGGGGTCCATTGTAATTTACAATCTCCAGTAGCGTCTTATATTTATTAACAGTAAAATTTATTTCATCAAGGTAGCGGAATGAAATGATTTTTATTTTAGACATTATTTTTTAAAATCTTAGTAACTATAACGAGTTTATTATTCTTCTGATGGCAGCTTCCATTCTCAATTATTACAGTTTTATTTCTTCTTGAACTTTGAACATGAATAATTTGCTCCTTTTTAAGAAGACGCAATTTGACTAATCCTATTCCCAGCGACAAATTGCAAATTCAAAACCATTCTTAAGAACATTGACAATAACTATAATTCTAATATAAACAACCCAATTAAGTCAATACGTTTACCTGCCACTGAACTACCTGTATGGAATGGTTATAAGACAAAGCTTTAGAGTTCAATAATCACGTATATATTTCTACCAGAAGCAGAAGGCTTTTACAACCAACCCCGTGATTAACTTTGCCTACTGTTTATTACCCCAAAACCGCAGCCCCTTATAGAACACCCTGCCGAGCAGACCCTTGCCCCTAACCATTCCAGGACCGTCCTTGGAATTTATCTACCTACACTCACAAGCGGGATGTTTTTCAATCTTCTTCGCAGAGCAATTCTTGAAACATGTACTTAAAAAAATAGTACAAAGTAACAATTTATTACGTTTCATGTCACTTGTTTTTATTGGTACTCCTACTTCCCGTTCTGAATTTCTTATAAAATTGTAAACACTCAAAACAATTTGTTTAGAATCCGAGGACGAATGGATCTGTTTGTTGAGGTAGTTCATCTGCTAAATTGTCAATAGATTTGTCTACCATCTCCACTTCGTCTTCAAATTCTGCGTTCTTTTCCTTGGGGAACACCTGTTAAAAAATGGACACCTTAATTTTTCAAAGAACCTTCCACAGACTACTGTAGTACTGCTTACAAAACTTCTTGATTCCTCTTACGTCGGTTTTTGCTGAGTCGTTAGCAAGTTCGACTCAGCAAAAACCGACGCAGGAGGAATCCAGAAGTTATGTCAAAAAGGAACCTTGTTCTTTATCTACCGTGAATATAATCTATAGTTTCAAAAGACACAAAAATACAAGAAGAAGAATGTTGTCAATCTACAGACACACAAGACAAAAGTGAGTATTTTCAAACTTACCTGTGAGATTAGAGTCCCTTACTCTTTGAAATATCCAGTGAAAACAGCCTCGCTGGGTCAAAGCTCGAGAATCAAATACATAAATACATACTTACTGGAAGGATGTTAAAATAAACACTTCTACTTATTCGAAAATACTCCGCAGCGTCAATGGTTAATCAAATTTCCATCAAAATTCTATTTACGTTTGAAATAAAAATTTCAAGTTTCTACAAATTTTCTTTACGGTCCATCTCATAATAAACATCTGTTTGCACTATATTTCTGGTCGCACAATAACTCCTTAGCGTTCATAGCGTCCCGAGCATAGTGAGCCAGTAACTTTTGTTCTTGTATTACGGACTTAAGGAAAAAATATTAGGTGCATCTTTGTTGGAAGGCAGTTAATTGCTGTTGGTGCCGTTGGGTTCCAATTTTAGGACTTTCGAATGCAAAACGGTAAACATTTTCCAGCAAACATGCTCAATTCAAAATTCCCGTTTGCAGGTGCCGTTCTTCTGCATCAACATCGTAGCAGCGTTCTGCAAGACCTGCATTCCGGACATCACTTTCAAAATCCTCACGTGGCTGGGGTACTCCAACTCCGCGTTCAATCCTATCATCTACTCGATCTTCAATACGGAATTTCGGGAGGCGTTCAAGCGAATCTTGACGGCACGGTACCCGGATTGGTGCAGATGCGGCTACCAATCGGTTTCTTTGAACAATGACAACAAATACGTGACGGATTACGGTACCAAAACGATCGTGGTGAACGCGAGAAGGAACGGTTCGTTTGGCGAGTTTTCTAGTGAACATATGAGCTGTGAATCGGTGAGGCAAACGAGAGTGAATTCGGCGGCCGATGTTTTGGGAGACGACGCGAACGTCATTTGACAGGACTACGACCATCTTCAGGACACCATGGTGTAGTACATCGACCGCGGATCCGACGCGTATCAGCAGCAATACATACAGGTTAGGCTCAGAGAGGGCCGCGAAGTGGACGAAGTTGGCCTTGTATAAACTACCTGTACATAGAGTTTATTTTATACTGGGAATCCAATGGACGTTTAGTCGTTAGAATTAAACGTCGATTTTTGTAAATACGTTTTGCGAATAGCTGATGCAAACAAGGGGGGAAAGCCACTGGGATATCGGGTTATTAATTTGAGGTCTCTAAATTAAAAAAAAAAGTATTTTCAGTAAGATACGAAAAGTAGAATGTATATCGATCCATAAATATCAAATAGGGGGTATTTTTTATTTATTTTTCTTGCTACAATGAGATATCGTGACGTATATAAACATAATCTCAACATACGATTTCAATGCGAAATTTTAAAGGCAAATCAGAAGCAACTTAAAACTTTTCAAATCTAATCTTTTTCAAAAACCCTCGAATAAACAGAAAAATGAAAAATTTATATAAATATATATACACTTTCTTTCCTTTAAATCGTTTAAATCGAACAGATAAATTATATTTATGCAGGGTGTTTCAAACCAATTTTTTTTTATCTAAAAACGAAAAGAGATAGTGTTACTATCATAAAACACACATTTTGTATATTTTTTCTCTATTTTTATATGATTGGAAGCTATTGAATTAGAGTACCCTAATCAATCTGCTTAACTAAATTTAAAGAAAAACTTAAGCAATCACATGTAAAAAAGTAACTTTTTTGCTCCCTACAATTTCCAAATAAAAAATATAATGAAAAGAATTGCTTGTCGAAAAAAAAAACATATTTTTGAAGTCAATTAATTGGATGTCATGTCAAAGAAAAAGCTTGTAAATAAAACATAAAACAAAAAATTCTTCTATCTTTCTATATAACAATCAAAATTTATCTTTTTGCATGTCATGACATAAAATTTGCTATTAAATATAGTTAGCAAGATTGATTGGGGTAGTCTAATTCAGTTCCCCTCCACGCGTTTAAAAAAAATAAAATTATATAGAGAAAGTGCGTAATAATACTTATATATTTTATGGTTCTATTCTCGTGTTTAAAAAAAGACACAAAAAAACAAAAGATAACCAATATCAAATCTAAGGAATACATGTAATATGTTCAACAGATTGAATCATGCTTTTATTATTGTTATGTTAATATAAATTTATTTATTTCAATTTATTATACAAACTGTGATTTTTTTGACTATTTATGAAATTTTTCGATATTTTATATTGAGTGAACTTAAACAGTAAATACCTAATTCTAATAACTCCCAGTTACTAACAGTAAACCCGTAACGAATAAAAAGTCTAGTCCTTGGATAGTTTATCGCCAAAAGAAATGAAAGCAATATACAGATAGTATAAATGGATAATTCGTATGGTCTGTTCATAGATATAAGAAAGGGACCAATTTCTTTTGAACGAATTATCCAAGGGTGGTCATTAACATACAATGCAACAAGATTATTACCTTAATTAATATTTAATAATTAATAATTAATTAATTAAAAATTACCTTAATTAATAATAATAATTTTGTTGCATTGTATGTTAATGACAACCCTTGGATAATCCGTTTAAAAGCAATTGGTCACTTTCTTATATCTATGGACAGATCATACACGGTATTTTTCAGTGGTTTCTCCCTCGAGATCAGTGTTATATACAAACGAACTCCGCCATACTGTGTGCATAGCCTACATATAAATCACATTCTAAGCGGGCACGAAAAGAATTACCCCATTGGAAACATGTATTTGCGTCGCATATTAATTTAATTATATGAACTATAATTTCGGGTTTATCTCGCTAGTCAGTTTTCTTAAATTTCTTATCAAAGTTCTTTTTTTATATATTAAAAATTTCTGGTAGTTGTGGATTAAACTGTCTTGATTATCCTAATCTGAATTTGCACTGGTGAAAAATTCGAGCTTATAAGTTGACATATCCAAATATATGACGTAACTAGAAGTGTCATCAATATGTAAAGTGGAGAATCAACTAGCTCGCTATTAATAATGTTTTGTATATGTTGGGTTCCTTGTTTCGATATGATGTTGTCGGTTGCAACCATAGTGCAGTGTAGAGTAGCGATTTTAGGTGTACAGGGTGTACAGAAATTATCTGCACATTCATTTCCAAAATTCCGCAAATTCCTGTTGAGCATTTTATCAATGTATCAGTCACAGCAAAATATTCGATAATATGAAAATTATACGTTTTCAAACTCAGAAAAATATGTAAGTTATTGTTTTATTTTTTACAAAACTTCTGGATTCCTCTTGCGTCGGGTTTTGCTGACGTTTCGCCAATCATCCCGTTGGCCTCTTCAGTCAAGCTCTGAAAAAACCGACCCAGGAGAAATCCAGAACTTTTGTAAAAAGTATTATACTAGCCTTTGGAAAAAAGTTATTGTTTTTGCTATCAAATTGTTGCTAGTGATAATATCATGCTACAACCTTCTAAATAATAACAGAAGTAATCTGAAACGGTATCGAAAGAAGACATCCTGTACATACTTGAAACACAGAAAGACTGACTGGTTTAAAAAAAAAGCTCCAATATCAAACTACATATTACAACTCTATTATAAAACGTAAATTTAAGTGTATAGGCAGTTTTCATTACATCTCTGAAACAAATTTATTATCATTATCCAAGAAATGAAGACCTCAACAGGTAAATTTTGTGTGGCTCACAACTGTTATCTTTGTTGTATCAGGACCCAAGTTGAATTACTAAAGCTTTTAAATAGTTATTTAAATTTTTGGTATAATTTCTATAAAATGGTTGGGGATGTGAGATGTTGCAAATGCGGAAGATGTAGTTAATGGATATTTAATTAAGCATTATTTCTATGAAATTTATTTAATCCCCCTACCTAACACTAATTAACATTGGGGATTGCATGATGATTCTTTGCACGGATAAAATGGTTTTAGTTTAAGGATGAAACTAATCCCCTTAATTTTAATTATTACATTCCTAGGTACTGCAGGATAATTATGTACTATTTGGGAGCAATATGAACAGGTACTTATTATTTTACAAAAAAAAACACGAAATTTGAAATTGGAATGTGTTACTATCCGACGTATAAAAATAATAACGTTTTTAAAAAAAACCAACGGCATCAATTTCGATTAAAAATTACCGTCAAACCTCCGATCGATAAACCTAACAAGAAAGAACCGGAAAGGTATGACTTATGACCTGACGTGAAATAAAAATCAGATGGTGGAAGTAACATAGGTGGAAGGCGAAGGAAAAACGCGGACCAGCGAAATATTGAATTATTTCAAACGCGTGACATCCTATCGTGCGGGACTTCTCGAACGAAGCCTCCAGAATTATTTTGACAGTGAAACCATCCGCCATTTTCCAAGTATTTTCGGGACGTCTTCTGTTTTCGCAACGTGTAGAGTAAATTATTGATGATACTGATATCAAAACTAATTGATGGGTTAACTAGTTTGCCTGGAGGGCACTGAAGACTAAAATTCAAAATATAATGCAATACCCTAGAATAAAACCTTTTAAACAGATCGTGGTAGTGTTTTTATTTGGCTTAGTTATGAAGGTGTTATCAATCGATTGAATTGATCGAAGGTTCGATTCTGCACGGTTAAAATCAATTAACTTTATTGAACTTGCTAGATTTGACAATTTCCAATTAGTCACAAAGCAATAGGTTAAAGTATTGGTTTAGAAAAACAACTTTTAAATGATTTCAAACTAGCGATCTGTACAAACCCAACGACGAATTCATTCATTCAACGCTTTCATAAAACAAGTCCCGGAGGATTGGAAAAAACGTTGGCATAAGTGTATTATATTTAAGGGGAATTACTTTGAAGGGGACAGCATTAATTTTGATGAACAAATAAATACTTTTTAATAACACCACTTTACTTTTTGAACACGCCTCGTATGCAGATTTTGGTACTAGAAAGGTCTATCTTTGGCAGACTAATTGAAGACGCACTTCATGTAGTGGCGTTTTTATAATTACAGAAATGCAAATGCAAATGATTGTGAATTTTTCCATACCCAGCGGAAAACTTATTTAAATAAGTCGGGGTTTGGCGTAGAGCGAGATCGTTGCCTCGGATTGGATTATTTCTAAACCGCAAAATCTAATTGTGCTTTTTTTTTATTTCCGTCCAATCCTACAAAATTTGCATTTTTTTTATTTAACTTACAAACAAATCAACTTGACGTTTTGCTTATAAGGTGCCTGTACCAATTAAAGGCACGTATGTCTGTATCGGAACCAGTGCAGCAAAAATATTATTTTAGAAATTTAAAAAAAAATAATAGCTATTGAAATTGCTGAGATGTTCCGGAACGTTTAGCTATAATTATTTACCTTGGCAGTCTGTTATTTCCCACGTTTTATCTTTTGGCTTTATGTGCTGTCATTCCAAGTTAAGAAATCCGACACAAATACCAATGCTAATCCTTAGTCACTTTTATAAAGCAAGCAAAGATTGTGAATACCAATTTTTATAAATTATTGTTACATTGCAACTAGGATAGAGCCAATTAAAGCTGAATGTGGCCTTAATTGACACACGTACCTTTTGGTTGAATCGCTCTGAATGATAGATTAGATATTTTTGGAAAACGATATACAGGATGGTTCTGAAAGTACATTTTTTAAATTTCAATTGTAAATGCCCCATCGCTTTCTTATTATTTTTGTGTAATATCTTCCTGAACCCTTAATTATTTTGGCCACAGTTTACTTAAATCATACGTTCTTTGAGTAATAGTTTCCGCGCATTGCTAAATTTGGAAATTACGCAAATTTTATGACAATGATTACGGGGAGTGCTGACATTAACAGATTTAGATTGTCACGAATCCAACATCAAAAAATATTTAATCATATAGCAATAATTTTTCTACGTAAGATTATTGCTTACTCTCGTATGTAGACCACATTGTTTAATTGACGTAGAACTTGACATTAATTTTTATCTGTTATTATCGGCCTACAACGCCAATAAACTTGTAGATTTGTTCACTGGGTGTTTTGCAACTTCAAGACTCTTCGTCACATATCTCCATACGGCTCACTCTGGCAAAATGACCCGAACAAATCGTATAACTTAACGAATGACTTTTTTGTAAGTAAACTCGTTGTAGGTGATTTCATTCAATCTCCGCCTGTGACTGTGTAAAATCCAAATAGATTTCGTCTTCGAAGCAAACTCAAACATATCTCCTTTTAAATATTGCGCTTATATATTGTAAATAATAAATTCAGATCCTGTACCTTTATCGAAAATCTTGTAAAAACTTAATGTTTTGTACCCTCGTTAGATGTTAATATGTGAACATTATTTGTTGAAAAATACATATGACATTTACAACGTTGTTTTATTTCTTTACGTTTTTGTTTGTTACATCGACATTATTATTTATGTTTGTGAAATAAACTCCAAGAAACGATTCTTTGGGTAGTTTGTGTACGCAAATGTAATGTAACCAAAAATGGTTTTTTATTTTGGTTGACTAATGTTTGTTAGTTCGTTGTTGCACATTTAATTTAATTAAATTAAAATTAGCAGAAAATGTAGAACAGAATAACCGCATTACAGGTAGGTATTTCTTATGTTGGCATTCTATCCTAAAACCACTTAGGAGATAAAAAAATTAAAATTTGTGTTCATGATTTGCAACTTAAATTACAGATGAATCCTAGAAATTGAAAAAAAGGTAATCAGAGATAGAGGTGATCCATTTAATCTGCATTAATTTGTTTTCGCTAAATAAGGAGATAGTTCTCAATTTATTTAAAGAACTGCTCTCACATATGGCAAATAGTAATAGGAATTCAACAATTCCAAAGCAAACAAGAACTGATTGTGCTGAGGTTTTTAGATATTTTTATTTTCCGTTCTTCACTATGTGATATATCAATCATTGTATTTGTATGAATATGATAAAAAAGTTCCACTTACTTTATTTTTATACCAACCTATGTATTTCGAGGTATATTTTAATTATATTTGTTTCCTTCATTCAAGGTCAAAGGAAGGAAGGAAGGTTGTTAGTTGATTCGGTATATGCATTACAATCCGAAGTACTGTGGAAAGATACATCGGTGTTTTTAAAACTGGATTTAGATTCATAATGAGGGAGCGCAAACTACGTACTCCTGAGAAAGTTGGCAGAATTTGATAATAGATATTTTAGACAATAAAATAATCAGAAGTCAAGTACGTTGTAACATTTTTATTATTCTTCTTTGATTGCACACAAAAAAAACATCCAAGGAAACTATTTGTAAGAAACAAATATTAACATAACAAAATAAAACTAAAGTATTCCAGGAACAGGAACTAATTTAACGTAGAGAGATCCTTCAAGAAACGCATTAACGAACATAAAA